TGTGTGTGTGTGTGTGTGTGTGTGTGTGTGTGTGTGTGTGTGTGTGTGTGTGTGTGTGTGTGTGTGAACTGCATTCAAGCACATGTTCACAAACATGTAGGACTGTCGTTAAAATGCACTGTGTGTATATATATCCATGTCTATCCACTGTGTTGGGTCTGGAGTCTAAATTTGGCAAAACTGCATTCAAACATGTGATGGCACCCCCCTAAAGGCAGCGTTAATAGAGATATCCTCTCGGCAGCAGATCCGTCACAAGCTAGAGCAGGATCCCCTTTCAATTTTCAGCTGACCTTGAAACAAGGTCATTTTACAGCAACAGTTTGAGCGGTTGAATGATTCTCGAGCTGTTTAAACTAACATAATTATGCAGGTGACTTCATGTGGACACAAACAGGCAGAATTTACTCATTAGTTCTGTTTGTTGAATTGGATCAGCTTACACTGACCTGGGAGCAGTTTCATCGCTCACAATTAATGAAGAGGAGGTTTAGTATTTTCTTTTCTAACTTTGGTTGAAACACGAAAGCTAATTCAAATATAAATGCATATGTTTCCACAGGTTATCAGAACACATTTTATGAAGTTTTAAAGTAAGGTTTTCTGTAAGTTAGGTCCTTACCTGCTAGAATGAGCAGATGAAAAATGAAAAAGACAGTATTCATCCTTGTCAATAAATCCAACAGCACGATCCAACTTCAACACGCTGTCTGTTGATCACCTGAGAATTAAAAAAGGTTTGTCCCACCTAAAACATTTTTTCAGAGCTGGCAATTGACTGACTTTAAAACCTCCAGACTCTCCACTGGCAACCTTGATGTTATTGTGTGGCAGCGGATGTGAGTGACTGGCTGCCAATGCTTGTCATTTGAGAGGGTCGCATACTTTGTCATCTGTTATAAGATCAACATGCCAGAGTAATCCACCACTGAAATATCCCATCGTGAACTTGACCACACACAACAAGGAGGTGCAGAGACGCTACACATGCTCACTGCCGTCAGTTCCTCTTGTATTAGGAATTAAAGATTTATGCCTTAGATCTGAACCCATCCATTTGTAATGTTCAGCCTCTTGAAAAAGTGTTTTCTATTATATCAAACATTTAAAGCTGTGGATTTTAAGCTTGAGTTTAAAATAAAGCCCTGTCA